CATCCTGCTGCTGTTTCAGACCTGGAACGGGGTAGCGATACCCGAAAAATTTTTTTTTTTTTTTTCTTAAGTGTATCGGTTAGACTAAAAACCAACAAAACCCACAAAACATAATGTCTCTACAAGCGTTACTGCACTTGGGTGTACCTGATCCGTTTAATTCTGCTCAGGCCCTTTGTAAAGCTGATGGCAGTAAAGTCACGTTACCCCGTTTCAGAAAGTCTGATCAAGGCAATGGCGTAAACATCCGTACCTACATGGTGTTACCGGAAGAAGTGTTTTATTGCCTAGATGCTCGTGTACAAGGGAAAGTGATCATTAATTTATTCTTAATGTAAATAAGCTTAACATCTTGGAGAAAAAGAGCTGATGTCGACCTTTAGTTTTTCCCAGGGCTCTAACTTAGTTCTGACGTAACTCAGTTCTGTCTCATTTTTAGTAATTTTCTGGCAAAGTTTTAATGCATTGTAATTTAAAAAAGGTGGTTGTAAGGGAGTATTTTTACCCTTATAAAGTACAGATAGTTTTTTTAAGCATTTGTCATCTTCACACAGCAGATCTCAAATACTCAGCAAAGAAAAAGTTCGTAGGGTTGAACACAGCCAAATTGTGCTTAGCCTTGGCCAAAAAATGAGCTCCGAGGACAGATTAACAAAACAGAGTCTCATCAAAAAGAAAAATGGAAAGAAATGTTATTTTTAAATAGAGCTTGGCGATAAGGAATGCCAAAAGATGTTGTCAGAAGGAGAGAGATAGGACATATCTTTCCCCTTTTTTTCCACTTTCTCAGCAAAGAGCACCAGCACAACCTCCTGCAAGCGCGGTCACCCTGAGAGAAGATAGAAAGCAGCAACAGGAGGTTCCAAAATACCCAAATAATACCTTTGATGAGGAAGCTGAGCATAACCCGGTGCAATACGAATCCTTTGAGCTTTTGGAGAGCCTGGGGGGCTCCCCATGTTTTCTTTTGTGGCCACAGCTGTTATTAGCTGTAGCAGATCAGATCTTTTTTTTTTTTTCCAAGCTGTAAAACTCTCATTTTCTAGCAAGCGTAATGACCTTTGCAGGACAGCCCTCTACAGTGACCTTTCCTTTACAACCCCTGCTGTAATTCAGGGGCAACAGCTCAATTTAATAATGACCTCAGAGATACAAAGTTAATTACTTTTTTTTACATTCC